ACACACACACACACACACACACACACACACACACACACACACACACAGCTCCCTGCCGGGTCACTGGGTCACAGAATAATTTGTACTGAGATGGCCCTTCCTAGAACATACAGCTGTCCGTGCACACTCTCATTTGGTTCCTGAGCTCTTTGTGGCAAGTTTTGCACTCCAGTGTAGGTGGTGGTGACTCAGGGGTTCAGATACTTGACTGAGACCACACAGCCAGGCAGCCACAGAGTTGAGGCCAAAGCCTTGCTGTTTCCGTTTGGAGCGTGCCGGACAGGTGACAGGCTAACATCTGCTTTTGGAGCCTTGTCTTTTGAAGAGAGAAAGCAGAACCTGGGTTTGAGTCCTTCCATTAGCTGAAGGGAGGGTGAGTGAGGGTCAGGAACTGTCTGGGGCCCACTGGTCCTCTCCTCGTCAATCACCAGTCCCTTCTTTTACTACAGCTCAGAGCCCCGACAGTGCAGTGGAGACTGCTCTGGGAAAAGGCATCACAAACGGTTTGCTAGACATAGTTTCTTTCCTAACTTACCCCCAAGCCTGTTCACAAGTAGAAGGGGATGGGAGTGAGGTGCAGAGACCAGGAGGAAAGTACGAGAAAGCTTTCTTTGAAAGCTTTGTTGAGCTAGGCCCAAGCACAGACACCTGTGGAAGTCATTTTGTTCAGTTTATAAAACGACAAAACACAGTGCGTAATCAGAAGTAAATAAAACCATTTCAGTGCTTGGAAATCACACACACACACACACACATTCACACATATACATACATACATTCACACATATACACAAACAAACACAGACACACACTCTCCCCCACACATATAAACACACACTCTCCCACACATACATAGAAACACACACACACAGTCACACACACACACACACACACACACACACACACACACACACACACTATTTTTAAATAAAATGGGACCAGTGCCAGTAACATGATCCTTTCATTTAAAGAAAGGACGCAAGCCCTCCACCTTGGTGTTCGGAATCAACAACAGCATTCTCAAAACCTAGCTTGCAAATGTCTCTAGAGATGAAGACAGGTCACTGCTCGGGAAAGCTGGTTTGGGAACACGAGGATGGCTGCAGTCCAAGAAGGGCTGCCCTCTTACCCTGTGTGACTGAGTATGGGCTCTCAAACATGCTTCTTGGAATCCTCGGTAGTACTTCTGGGGAATAAAGTTCTAGATCATAACTTACATGAGTGTCTGTGCGTAAATACATATTTTTAGTGCAAAATATAGTCACATGATTCGAATGTAACGAGAGTATATCTTCTATAAAGCAAACCTCCCTCTAGCTTCTCAGGTTAGCCGGGGGTTAGCTAAGTTTACCAGTTTCTTTGAAATCCTCTTGGAGATCTTTTATGCATACAAAAAAAAATTATCTCCTGGCTTTCACACACATATTTTTCCACAGAATCACTTTTTACACTTGCATAATATTCCTGTGTGGGCGTATTGTAATTTATGTAAGTGATTGCTGCTGGGAGGTACTTAGCATGTTCTCCCCATGCTCCTGTTACAAATCGACCCCTGAGGGCCATCTGTGTGGGTTCATTCCTGCACACGCCCAGGGGACACAGCCTGCCTGAGCTCTAGTCGTGGTTTGGCTACTTGTTCGATTTGTTTCTTGAGGTCATTAACCTAATTCTTGTCTGCTTCAGTTTTTCTCATCTGTAAACTGCAGTAGATAAGAACAGCTCCCGCCTTGTGGGGTGCATGTGAGGATGGTTAGGAGAGCCTGAGCCTCAGAGCAGAGCCCGAGCAGGAAGAGGTCATTAGTACTATCCACAATTACTTCCTAAGGCAATCTTCCTAAAAGCGGGATTGCTCTGTCAAAGGCTATGCAAGCGTCCTCGGCAGTGATTCTCGTGAAAATAATTTTATTCTTTTATTCTGCCAAATTTCCCACCCTTACCCCTCCACAAAGGCTACACCAGTCCACACTCCTCCTCTGAATAACAAGGGCTGCTTTTTTCCACACCCTCACAATCCTGTGGCATTATCACGTCTTTAATCTCTACCAATTAGCTAGGCAAAAGATAAAGTCTCTTTGTTGTTGTAATTTGCATTTATTGGATGACTGCAGCGGCTGAACAGTTCTTCTAAGGGTATCGGCCTATTGTGCTTCTTCCTTTGGAATTGTTTGTTCATGTCTGCAAGTCTCTTTTTCTGCCCAGCGCTCATCTTACGGATTCTCAAGAGCGCTCCAAAAATACCAAGGCTACGAACCTTTGGTTCCAATGTTTTCTTTCCCCCCAGTTATCTGCTTCTTGCGTTTTTAAAATGCAAGGCTGGTAGGCCTGACTATCTTCCCCCTTCTCTCCCTTGCTTCCTCTTTTGCACCAAGAAAGCTTGAGCATCAGTGGAACCTTCTGGAACCTCATGACTCCGAGTGGGAGTCCTGCCCAGAACCCTTCTTTTCCTCACGCCCCAGAGTGCCTGTCACACCTCATAGTTCTGAACTCTGAAAGCTAACGGGAACCACCTGGCCAGGGGTTTGGGTACAGGCCGGACATTGAGAAACAGGGCCAGGAAAGCCATCCAGGCGGGTGAGTTCCTGGGCTCCTTAGCATCTTCCAAAAGTGCCTGAGGGCATGCGCATGCTCGGTGTATATCCCGTGCCTGGCGACTCCAGGACTGGCTTCAATCTAAGGTTAACCAATAGCTGTCGTCTAACCTTGGTCTAGCGCTGACCTCCTGTGACTGGGACACAGAAAGCTTTTTGTGGGTTCCAAAGTGCCCACTTTTCCTACTGTGGTGTGTCAACTTCCCTGCTGCAGCTCCGACAGCAGGGAAGTCTTGTCCCCTAGCACCGTGGGCCACTTTGCTCCCAGCCTGACTCCAGCAGGACACTGAGGAGTGGGAGTAGGGGGAGGAAGCCACGCTGACTCTGCTACCCTTGCTTCCTGACTTGAGTCCCAGCCAAAGATGATACAGTAGCCAGGAGCCACTGCTTCACGAGAGGATGGTGAGCCTGGAGGGCACCAGACAGAGGCAGCCGGCAGGACCAGGGGGGCTGAGGAACTGGGTTCCAAAGCCACTCCACATCTTCGTTAGAACAAAGGCTATTATTTCAGATCCTAAGGGCCCCTCTTCATTCAGTGGGAACTCATGTGTCTCACTTAGCCACTTCTTGACAGCTCATGCACTTCTGAACAACACACCTAGTTCATTCACTCCATATTCATTCATTCATTCATTCATTCATTCATTCATTCATTCATTCATTCATTCCCTCCCTCCCTCCCTCCTCATTCAATTCATTTTCAGTGAATGATTCAAGCCACGACATGCCAGGTACTCTTCATTCCCTAGGGAGCGAAGTGAGCTAGAAAGTCTTGAACTTGGGGAGCACAGCTTCAGTCAGCAAGTAACCACCAAGAAGGATGAAGCAGTGACAGCGAGCTTGGGAGTTTACAGCCCATGAAGCCGAAGAAAGCAGGGGCTGGGCAGAGGCAGGCCCAGGTGATAGGGCTATAGAGTCAGGCTGGGAAGCCCGGAATGGGCTTGTGTTTCCCTTTTTAACTCCGTATGTGTTGGCTGGACAATTTTAAACGACATATTTGGGCTGGGTCATGCTTGCATTGGGCAGCACTGGTCTGAAGGGCAACAAGGTAAGAGTAACCGCATGCTTGAATCACGCTGTGCTCTTCACAGAGACTTCTCTCTGCTAGCTTTTTGGAAGTGCCTCACAAGAATCTTTTGCAAGGTGAGGACAGATCACTAGGCTCAGTTTTCTGCATCTGGAAAGTTCCTTGGTAGATTTATCACAGCAGCTCAGATGGTAGGAAAGAAGAGCATACACCAGATGGCCCTTGGAGCCATGCCTGGGAGACCTCTGCAGCTCCAGTCCTGGGCCCGGAACCCTGGAAGCACTCTGCGACAAGGGCTGGTGACCTCCCCAAGATAGCCCTGGATTTGTTCTGAAGGTGTCTGAGGAAGGCATTAGAGACTCAGGAACTGCGGATGATAGTGTTTGTGTTTTAAGCTCTTTCTTCATCTGAGCATAGAGCCCTTCTCCCTCTGTGGCTTCTGGGCATCAGACCCAGCACTAGTCCTTCTGGGTCACTTGGGACAAGGCTCCGAGGTTCACACAGCAG